GGATGTATAGAGCAATAATGAGACTAATGACTTAGGGTAGCACTTTATTAGGCAGAATTTGGGTCGCCGATATTCAGTAAAAGAACGTCTGCTGCATTTAATTTAATTATAATTTCTTACGAAAAATTGGTTAACTTGCTATCTTGATCAGAAGATCCGTTGAAATGTCTGGCATGTGAATTTACTAAGCAAAGATCTGCAATTCATTTTACGTGCCTGATCTTCTACCTAATGTAGCGTTAGCCATACGGGGCTGTAGTCTGGAGTAACAAAACTAGTGAAGCTACGACGAGAGCTAATATCTTAACGGTACAAAGACTAGCCTGCATTTGCATCACCGGTGAAATGAGATCCTGTCCTGAGGCCGTAATGGTGATCTTAAACTTCACACCTCTACATTTAATGGTAGATAACGTAAAAAAAGACGAGATATAGAATGAGCAATGAGACGAAAGTCTATTAGCTCCGGGACCGATATATCCCAATGTGAAATGAGAAAGAAGTACAGTTTTTTGAAAAAACCACAGCTAAGCTGTAAGAAAAATTAAAGACAATAATTAATCGTGCTTATAATCGAAAAGCATGCACATAAATGCTATATGGATGGTTCCACAATTATATAACTAACTGAAATAGGGATACATGAGCATAGAACTAAGTAATCCGAAAGTTTTGGTAAATTCTCAAGATTCTTCAAGGCAGAAATTCACGCCATTGAGAAATGTATCCAGTTCAACATCGATAAAAACGCTGAGCTGAAAAATGATCTGGAGGTACCCAGAAAAACTGAATGTGCTAGGCGTTGAAAATACAGTTTTTTTTACTTGCTCCCGGGACGCAACGAAGTAAAGGCTGACATACTTATGGGTCACTATAACCAGAAAATATCGAAAGTCTATATCCGTTTCAGCCAAGAACAGGCTATGCATAGTAACAATGGCCTTTACCGGACATTACCAACTCCAAGGACGCCTTAATACACTTGGATGAGTGTAGACGATAATAAGTGGAGATTATTTGAGGAGGAGCTCGAAACCTTAATTCACTGGCACTACAGAAGCCAAAGGCACTTATACTTGGAATCATACCAAATAGAAATGGGCGATCTGTCCAGCGAGGAGCCACTCCAAATCTAATACTTACTTGGAAAGAATCGTTATAGACGTCGAGACCTTATTCCCTTAGAGACAGATTGGGACACAACAGTTCTTTTAGGTCGCAGTGTATTGACATAAAAAAATGTAACACCATAACGTAACCAGTATGGACGCCACTGCATAACATCGTAACATCGAGAGTTCCCACCGGTTATCAGTATTTATCTGTTGATTTAAAGACATTTTATGCGCTGGTACTGCACCACTTGTCTACATCTGAGACTTCACAAGAAAGAAAATTATTTTACTGAGATGGAACGATATTATGTTTTACTCATTTGATACGCGATGATGTATTGGCATGCATAAAACCTTGACATATTTTCGATGCGTAACTAAAAATTGTTTTGCGACGTTGTAACGTTAAGAAGTTCTGTGGTGTTTTTGTGAACAACTTAGCATACTATTAAAACCTACGTACAGATATGCAATATAACTTCGTATCATAACATCGTTGCATAACAAGCCTGAATGACACTTCGGTACAACGTAATAGCATAACCTAGTAATATTGAAGCGTCCCATCAGTTGTCGGTACTTCAACGTCACATCAAAGAAACGATACAAGTTCATGTTTTTGTTGCAGTACCTACTTGATTATATATTATTATCTGGGCAGTATCTTCGATGCGTAACTGAATATTTTGTTACAAGCTTATATATTTCTTAATACGTTTGAGTAAATAATGAATTTACCTTGAATGCAAACACTTGCTGAGTTGCAACTAGGTTCGATCCATAAGGGAATTCGGCGGCTTTGAAGGCATATCCAAGAAGTATGTTGACCTTATCACCAACGCAGTCTAAAATATTTCGTCCAACTTCCCATCTGATAGTCAGTAAACCAAAAATAAACTGCAGTATTGTACCCCAGATTACTGTCCTCCAATTTATCTAAACAAACAAGTGAAATGTTTAAAAAATATTTACGAACAAAATTGATTTAGATTTGCTTTCATCATGCTTCACAGATGCGATAACCAAGTCAATATTGTGCTACAATTTTTGCGACAATCTTTAATGTTATTTAACTGTAAATATTCATGATGTTTTCCACAAGTCAACGTATTTCTAAATTATTTATTTATTCCTTTCATTTTCATCATACGTAGCAACAATTAACACATTGACAGGCCCGCTCAAAAAAGGTCGTGTGACGTAGCTAACCACAATAATAACTTTGGTGTTACGAGGAATAGAAATAAGTCATTGGTACCAGGGGCTACCCTTTAAGGCCGCATTGCAGCATGTCTCTCCTTAAAAATACCAGAGATACCAGAGAATAATATACTAATTAAAAATATTGTTTATTTGTTTATTTTATAATTTATCCTATCGTCTCGACACATGCTATGAGTGTTATTTATTATGTCTCTTCCAAATTCTTCCTATAATAGCATTTTATAAGCTCTGACTGGACTATAGACGGCCGCAACAAGATTGAGGCCTGCGTCTCCATGGAAACGTAGTGGGCCACGCGCTATCGAATACGTCTTGCAGTCGGCTGTTTTAGTACAAATGTCGCAATTTTTTGCTATTTTAAAGTTGTTTTATAGTTTTCACGGAATTTTTACAAAGCACCATGCTAAATGATTGACTAAACGCCTTAGATCAATAAATAGAAATTTAGTTCTGGAGATTGAAGGGTAAGGAGAAAAACAAACGATGTCACAAAACTGACTTACTGAGAAAATTAAGTTTTTAATTAATATTATTATTAAATCTTTAGTTACAGTCATAAAAATAAATAAAACTGCATGTTAATATTTTTAACGTAATTTATTACTGTATGGTTAACTTGTTGCAAAAGAATTGAAACATAAGATTATTATATTTAGGATAAAAAATAAACCTGACAAATAACTTGTTAAAAAGGAATGATTCCCATTTTAACCCTGGAATACTGGACTGTGTTAAATAAACGTTAATACTGGACTATCGTATTTTTTACGAATAAAAACAAATTATAAGAAATAGCGTTAATTTAATAAAGTACAAAGGTACTACTAGGGATCATACAGTATTAGACACATAAAATAACAGGCTTCAGGTAGAATTCTTTTAATCTCTTTCACAGGCATGGCATATATTATTCTGTTGGTTGCTTGCACTGGTTACAATATATTTGAAGGCATTTCCGCGCAGATCATTTGTAGCCATTTGTTTCTTTCAAAGAAGGCTTTATTATGTTTTGAGATAAGGACGCATAACTTGTTGATGCGATTGGAATTTCTTCATTTATTCCATCTATGGTACTTTCACCGTCATCTGAAGAATCTTCTAATTCATACTTTACATTGTCCCCTTCCGCTAGAACACTTTCCTCACCTGAAGATTCTTCAATTTCATATTCTACATTGTCCTTCTCCCAATGACTATCGCTGTCTTTAAAATAATCCGGCTCACTGTCCCCTCTACGCTATATGCCCCTCCTTCAGCCTGTATATCTTTGTCAGTTAAATTTTTTCTAGACATTTTCTGAAAAAAAGTGACTAAATAAAGTTCAAAATAATAAGAAAAGTAACTTACCTTTTAAGAAAAACAGTCTTTATATTTTACAACTGATGAAACTGGACTTTCGTAAAATCTACGACGCCTTGGCAAACTACCATATTTAGGGTTAAGACATCAACTATCTGCACACATCACCTGCTAGGCAATGACTAAACAGGAAGGTACTGAGAGGTGCAGGGCGATGCATGCCACCAGGGGGTCGATTCTCGACTTGTAGGAACCTTTTCCTATAGGAATTTGTGACACTTTCCTATATGTAGGAAAATGTCATAAATTTTCGATGTATATAAAAATGTCAAAAATTCCTATAGGAAAAAATTCCTATGAGTCGAGAATCGACCCCCTGAAGTAAAAAGAAATTGACATAGACTGAGACAGGTAGTAAAATTTACGAATGTCCAGTATTCTTGGGTTGAAACTAACCTAAAATAAAGAGAATTTCACCGGTATAACAATGTTTCATAAAATTCGTTTGTATTTGGGTGACAAAATCGTTTTTGTACTTGCAAATTGTTGTATTTAGCCTAAACAACGTCGGTTTTGTCGTAATACGGCGCCTATTATTCGGATCTCGTTTATTTTATTCGCTTACAATTGAATGTTTGGAACTCGGTATTACCAACATAACACGTTCATTACTTTAAAATTCCTATAAAATGGACATCGTTGGTTGTTTCCACTTACCCGTCAAATAATTTCGACGAAAAAGTTATCAAAACGGTATAGTTTTCTCGTAAAACATAGGTATTTAAACAAAAATTGTAAATTAAAACTAATTAAAAGATTGGTAGTTATTGCATATTTTAGAACAAATTTTAAGTGGAAAATCACTTATCACACAAGTGATGTACAATATTTTTCCTACGACCACAAAATAATTTCATCAAAAAATGTAAAACCAGGTTATTATTATAATAATTGAAATGTATTTAAAAAAAAATAATCAACAATAATTGTATTTATTCAATTTTCATATTTTCTAAACAAAAAAAAAACTAAAAAAAAAAAAAAAATTCTGCCCCCGAAAGGATTTGAACGCGGTCGCTCGCCAGGTTTCAAATGGCAAAGTTGATAAAGTTTGATACTCTACCACCTGAACTAATAGGCCTTGCGTCATTTGAATGATTTAATCGGTTATGTGTTTATCCAGAATAAAAAGCAAACCTAACTTAGTTATTTTAAAATTATTTTAATAATAATTGTTAAAGATAAATATCTAGAATCTAATTTACAACAATTTTAATAATTTAACAATCATATCGATTTTATTATTAATATGGACATTACATAGATCAAAATAGAAATCTGTAAAAATCTGTTAAAATGACTCATTATTTAGGCGTGCAAATACAGAATGAAATATTGTCGTCTAAAGTAAGAAATAAATATTTTAGAAATGGTTCTCAGTTCAAAATATTTTTCAATAATATTAGATTGTACACCAGACACTAGTCATACTGAGCATATTAGTCTTGTTCTGAGGTATGTTGTCCTTAAAAAGGGTTGAAGTTAAGGAAAGTTTTATTGCGTTTAATCCAATACTGGACTCTACAGGGGAAGGGATATACACATTTGTGACAGAAATTTTGAAAAAATTAAATTTAGATATAAAAAATATTAGGGGACAAGGTTATGATAATGGGGCAAACATGAAGGGAAAGCATGTTGGGCTTCAAAAACGCATTCTTGATGCGAATCCGAGAGCCTTTTTTGTACCTTGTGCGGCTCATACTTTGAACTTAACAGTAAATGACGCTTCTAAGGTGTCAGATGCTACAATAAACTTTTTTAATCCACAAAAAGGTGAGATGTTATGAGAAAAAATATCCCCGAGTTAAGTTTAAAGACTCTAAGTGAGACAAGATGGTCCAAATCACATCTGAAAATTAACTACTTCTGAAGTTATTGTCATCCCAGTGAATTGTTGATTAACTGCTATGACAATCAGTATTCGTTAATGTGTTAATTATGGCTTTGCAAGGAATGGTTATGAGTTTATATTCGTACTTCATTTAAAAGTATATAGTTTTATTAATTTTCAAAATACGGGGATGTAAAGGTTAAGAGGTACCATTTTCAAAAATTGATATTTCGTGTTTTTTGATAGATAAAATGTCTGATCATTTTATATATAGGTTTATGTGGTGAAAATTTGAAAACTTACAACTGCTATTCCGACCCTGTTCTTTGTTACTTTTACTGCTGCCATTACCGCTGATGCCGGCGATCGAGAATCGACCAGAATGTTTTTTGTAAGCAGTCCGACGGATGGAGTAAGGATTTTGCGGACGAATTGAGATTCTTTTCAAAAACTGTTTTTGTAAGCTTACATGGCTAACGCTGGCCGAATCTTGGAAGATACATTAAAACAATGTGGTAGAAAATTATAGGTCTTGAAAAGATCTACAGAAAAATCCGTGATAGCATGTATCTATCTCACAATAACCATTTTTATCTATTACAGATTAGTAAAAAATGACAGGTCATTTGTGCGAAGCTCTTTTCTCCCAGGGGGGATATCGTGCATAGTATCATGGAGGCGCTGACGTCATGCGTAGAGTTAGTAGAGTTGGCGCGAAATAAATATAATATGACAGACGCATGTTGCAGTAGTTTGTGAGTCGTTTATTGTGATTTATAAGATATTAAGCATATATTTGTATTATATTATGTTGTAAACTTTGTTCCCTGTGAGTGGTTTTAATGAAACACATTGAAAAATTGCGGTACGGATGTAACAGTAACAATTAAAGGAAAGGATTTAAGAAAGATAATATGGTTTTTGCTTTCCTTGACAGTAAGAGCTTGGTCAGAAGTGAGGAGTGGCCCAAAGGCGGCTCCAGCAGAGGCCCAGGGGAGCATGCCGTTCCCTAGATTAAAATTTTTAAAATCCATGATCCTTTTATTAAAAAAAAATAGGCTAAATAGGCAATTCTACCCTCCTTCCTAAGAAAATCCGATATGGAGCAGCCCTTGCAGTGGCTTGTGACCCTGCAGATAAATTTTTATATGTATTCCATGCACTTTCAACCTTCCAAATATAAGAAGAACCTCAAGTCAGAACTTCACATAATATGAAGTTGTGAACAAACCAGTGTAAATCACATTGGTTCATTCACAACTTGGGACTTCTAAACTGGAGACTCTACCCTTTGAAGGCTAAAAATTTCGCAATATAAGCAAAAGTGAAATTGTAAATGTCACAAAAAAAAAAGGAAATTTCGACTTGCACTTGATGAATGAATTAAAAAACTGTCTGTGACTAGGTCCAGGAAAAATACAGCGACATTTTATTTTAATTTTGTATATGCACCCACCATATTTTATGTAGCAGTTATTTGTATTTGATACATTTTTTATGTTTTGTATTATATTATATGAATGTCTGCATTATATTATATGAAAAACAAAATATTTTTTTAAAACTTATATTTATTCAATTGAGTAATATAATGCAGGTAAATGAGTAACCAGTTGCACATCCTAATCAGGTAAAAATTTCCGGCATACCCAAATGCGAAATTGTTACCAGGATCCCCAGTTTCCAGTTACGAAGATACCATTTATTTCATTATCCTGGTTATAAAAACTATTTTTAGAAGTCGAATTTGTATAACCAAAATAAATCGTTAAAAAAAGGAAAAAAAACTGTTCAAAAATAGTATATTATGTTACTAGGAGTAGAAGGCCAACATTATATGTTGAGCCCAGAATTTTGCACAGCTGAGGCGTTAGCTGAAGCTGTGCAAACTGGGCGAAACATATAATGGGCCTTCTAATCCGAGTGACATATACTATTTTTTCTTCAAGCATTTAAATAAAAGTATGGATAAAAAAATTAAAATAAAAACTAAAATTAATAGAATATCTGTAAAACTAAATAACAGTTTAAAAAAATTATGTACCTACCTTAGTTGCTAAATATGTCTTGTTTGGTGCATTCTTAAGAAAGTTATCAAACTCCTGTTTAGAAAAATCTTTTGACTTCTTCGGTTTGTAATTATCACCTTTTCGTTTTAAGAAGGCAATTAATTTTGAATAGTTTTCAATTTTTACATTATGTTTAATATTTAGTTTTGATTTCAGCATTGAATACTGCGACCACATTGTTGAACTTTTGAATTTTTCAGACAAATTAGTAAAATATGCGATCAGAACATTTTTTGAATAAAATAGGTACGTGATTTTTTTCACTCCATTTCACAAATTTTGTGTAAGCATAATCGTAAACTTTCTTCGATTTCGTAGGTATTAAGGTTTCTATCGAAGATTTCGCTATTTCTAGCAATTCGGGAGGTGTTGATTGCATTTCTTCTGTCATTTTCTTTTTACTTGAAAAACACAGGTATAACGAACGGGTTAACACTATTTTTTTTATATTCTAAATCATACACTGACAAACGTCAAATTAAATAAGTACTCAAATGACAGTTCCAGCCTACTTGATTGCAACGTTCATAATAAGCCATTTAACATTAGGTTTGTGCTTTTTTATACTAGTACAAAAATGAAAAATATTTGTACTAGTATAAAAATAGGCTACGTCTACAACACGTGTACCTTGATATAATGTAAACATTATTATACGCTTGAAGAAAAAATATTTTTTTTGTATGTATTTGCATTTATCTTCCTTCGTAGTTCTTTCCTTAACTATCCCATAATAATATCCATAGATATTTCATGTAATTTCTAAAATATTATCCTTAATATTCATCAAATTTCTGTAAGTAGCATATATTTTCCTCACACTTCCAGTATTTTTAAATTCGCGCCTATACAAACTCTACGCGTGACGTCATGCGCGTGGCCGTCCTATTTTTGACACTGTTGATATCCTACCTTTTATTTTTATACCATGCTTTTCTCCAATTAATTATTAATCCTTATATCCTTTTTTATAAAATAAAATTGTCTGTTACATTACTCGCATATTATTCAAATGAATACTTTAAAAGATATCACCATACGAAGCTGGGGCGGGTTAGTAGTATATTATAATAACAGAAATCAAGTTGGCTGAAAATTTTTGATAATTGTCTAGATAAGTACTGGTAATGCGATAAACTTACCTCAGATTTATTATTGGATACAATATATCCAATTAACAAAAATACAATCAGACCTGAAAGTGGTACAAGTCTATGTCTGTTATCACTTGTATCTACAACTAAATATATGACAATTACAACTAGAAAAACTATGTAAAATATCTTGTCGGCATTCCTAAAAAATAATAAAAATGATTAGAAAAACTATTTGATTAAACTCTAACAACAAATAGGTACAAATCAATTGATTTAATCTAAACATCTCTTAAATTTATGAATAAATGAAGAAACGCAATAAATTAGAATTTAATTTGTTGCGTTGTCTGCTTCAAGATAGATAAAGTCCACATGAATACGGATCTTATACTATAAATATAGGAAAAAAGAGAAAACTATTTTGCTTGACTTCTGACATAAGAGGCTTCAAATAAAATTGGCATAGAAAAGCTACCAAATCAGTATGTATAAGTACAATTCCTAGAATAGGTGTAAAATCGGAACCAAAAGTCGAAAAGTGATTTAATTGATCTCAAAATGTTTGTATAACTATCAAATAAGCGTATTGTCCTTGCAAGTATTTTTTATTCAGTAATTCTACCCCATTCAACCTTTTATTTATTTTGTTCCCATATCGGAAACTATTTTGAAATGTGTTTCTCGAAAACACGAGGTGAATGGAGTAGAACTACTAAATAAAAAATGCTTGCAAGGGTAATAATTTTATTTGAGAGTCATACGAACATTTTGAAAGTAATTAAACCACTTTTCAACTTTTGAAAAAGTCATTCAACTTTTAAAAAAGTCACTTTTCGACAGGCAGTAGCCTTAGTGTTTATAATCGATACTTCAATAAATAGTTTTTCTACACCCGTATTATAATAATGCACTTATATGCCCATAATCCGTTTCATAATGATACCCATTATGATACAGATTTTTCATTACGATACAGATTTTTAATCAATAGAAACCTACAATTTTTCAATCAAGCATGCTGTTTGACGTTTGTCCTAGGTTCCTATGTAATTATTTTAGTTGTCAAAACGTATTAAATTTTCGTAGGTAGCTAAACTTCGATAATTATAATATTAAAATGTCTGATATTAGCGATATAGAAGACTCCTCCACACATATCGGAGAAAGCAGAAAATACAGTACAAAATATTTTACCGCAAAAATCTAGGGAAATACCAATACCTGAAGTAATACCATTAATTACAATTTTGTAGAATTTTTTATAGAAATACGAGTAATTACTGTTATTGTGTTCAATACCAATATAAATATAATATTTATAGGTCTTGATTATTTATCGGGTGTAGAAAAAATAGCGTATGCAACTCTCATGTAATGGTTATTAAAACACTCGCATAAACCATACGAAACTCGCCTTTGGCTCGTTTCGTATCCCGGTTAATGCTCGTGTATTAATAACCATCATTACATGATCGTTGCATAATATATTATTATATTTTCTTATTTTTCATTTTCATCCAAAAATTAAAAAAAAAATCTTGAAGTAATACACCCTATTATTCATAGTGGATAAATCAATAATCCCTGTATAAAATAATATAAGAGAAACTGATTGCATACATTTCAATACTTAGAGAGATGCATAGAGAGTCGAGACTCTGCCTTTAATGTTTGCTTTCTAGTAAAACATGACATCGCTAATTGTTTATTGCTATATTTTTGTTAATTTAAAAGCAAAAAATATGAGGAAAGTACTTTCACCTTGTCAATACATAAGCGAAACTTTTATGAATAATAGTTTTTTTTTCATTTAGGCCTTCGTTTTTCGTCAAATGTGAGGTATATTTCTAAAAGAAGATTTTTTTATACAAATTTGTAGACGGTTGAAACAGGGCTAATGTAAATGCTTTTTTTTAAATAGTTATAAAAAAATACTTCCTACAAAGACCTAATTGAGCATTAGAATAAAAAATAGGC